GAGTGAAAGTGTAAAGGGAAAATAAAACCATACAAGAACAGGTCAGTAGCACACCCAGCTAAAGAGCCTTCGGAAGGGTCACAACTTATATAACTAAAGCTAACTAGAATTTTCCCCACCCCCTTTTAAAATAGTCAGCAAAAAAATTAAAACTTCCATTTGGAAATAACACTGCAGTGCCTCATGGGACTAGTAGTCAGGCCAGGGAGTCCCCTGCACGGAGTGGGCCATGAGGCACCTGAAACTGTAACTCTTATTATTCACCATGGTCTCCCTTATTGCTGAGTCATTATGGTGTATCATAGCACTTGGTGTATCAGGGAGTCCCTACTCATGGCACTTTGTGGGAGATGTAGTTTGAGGCTGGGGAATGCAGCCCATGGAAGAGAAAAGGGCAGCAAACTACAACTCCTATGAGGCACTATGGTGGCATTTCAAAATTTAAATTGGTTTTTGAACAAAAAGTCAAAATTGCCTGTGGAAAACAGATACTTTCCTTGAAAAATTTAGCTGAGTCAAAAGCCCAAATTTCCATCAAAAAACATTTTGGAGCTCTGTGACACCTCCAAAGAAACACACAGTTCCAAACTTAGTTAAGTATGAGGATGGCAAGCCCATGAGTGGATTACAACAGGAACACAAAATGTCTCAGCTTTAGACTGATATAAAATAAAAAAAAATCATTACATTTCAGCTGCTAGTCACATGAGAAATAGCAAGACTGTGTCTACACTGAGTTTGGAAACCATGGTAGTACCTCTAGAAAACTTAATACTGTTTGCCTGGTCATTGTAGACTGAGCTTAACCACACCATAAAATAAACTTTATAGCATTCATCAACATTGGTTTATTTAGATTAAGATTACTTAATGTTTGCACAGAGGAGTGACAATGTAACAGCACAAATAAATGCTAAATTTATCATATGCAATTTGCACTTAATTACTCTAAATTTGCAATAGGGTCTCAGATTTGAATTATGGCCTTGATATCGTACAGTATCGATCATCTTCAATTAAACAGCAACAAATGTAAAATAATTGTATAGATTTGCTAGAGCTATTACATTTAAAGGATAAACAATTAGAAAAATTTATTTGATTTCCCCTGAATATACTCATTCCTCAGATAGGCAGCTGCACTAGAGGGAGTGTGAGAGTGTATTAAATAGGTTAAAAAAAATAAATCTGAGAACCAAAGCAAAAGTGAATAAAAGGAAGTCTTCTTCCAAAGAGAAGTCAGAGTGATGGAAGCGTGTCTGACTACATAAAGCCAGTCTGAAACTGCCGACGGATGGACGGGCAGACAAACACACACACCATACTAGCTGACAGTGCTTTAAGAAATAAATTAAGTTTATTTCGTACAAACCTCTGCTTCAGCTGCTAATTCATATTTGGACTTTTTGCCTGGCATAGTTCGAATCAGATCAAATAGGCCATCCTCATGAATAATTTTTGTCCCTAATGTTGATGCCTAGACCAGAAAGAATAATTAAGATTAGCTCAATTGCACTTAAACTGCTTTACAGAAGTGAATTATGTACGTAATTCTTAAGTTTGGAAACACAAGCAATGTTAAAAAGCTGTATAATAAGTGTCTATTCACATTACAGTTACAATTTTAAAAACAAAATTAATACCAAACATATAGCCTATAATTGACACAAATGAGACAGGAGGGGGAGAGTTTAGGGTATGTGTGGTTGTTTCTAGCAGTAATATAAAAACAAAAACATTGTATATTACAATAAGATATTTAAATGATTTATAGTCAGATTATAGAATGGTGACATTTGAAAAAAAAATTACCTGAAACTAATTTACATACCAATTTTAAATTTTCCTAGAAATTAACTTTTGAATATCCATTCCAAGTAGCAATAAGACACTTCAGAGAACAATCTGATGGGGCTTATTAATTTACACCTTCAGATTCATTTCTCATCTGACCACACACCTTCAGTACACATTAATCAGAACTATCCTAGACTCATGTCTTATTGCTCATTGAATGTTTTCAGTACTGATTGTAAAGATATTTAATCATGTCTGAATCCTTTAATATTAATGCTGTGTTGTATGTACATTTGTTTTATGTAATGTAACAGAAGCACCACTGTAATTTAGCACTGCTGTCGACTTTGGGCCTAATTCTGGTCTCACATATAGAAGAGAGTGCACTACATCAGATATACTGTCTGTACATATGCGAGTATGGCTGAGCCCTCAAAACTACTGTAAAAATTGATGCTACTGGTAGAAAAATAAGGAAGTCAGTGTTATCTTTAAGTCATAACTGAGGCACTATCTGAAATTAGTAGTACAAAGAAAATCTATTAATAAACACCATTTTCTCTTTTAGAAAAATTACTTAATATTTCATTCCCCCCCCTTAGAATATGCATTTTTGGGAGAATTGTCTGGTTTTGGAAGGGAGATGTAATGATAGTAAATTTACATATGGGTACAATGTTTTGGAAGGGAGAGGAGTTATTTAAAGTTAAGCATCAATGTTGACACAAGAACAGCTGGATATAAGCTCGCCATCAACAAGTTTAGGCTTGAAATTAGACAAAGGTTTCTAACTATCAGAGGAGTGAAGTTCTGAAACTGCCTTCCAAGGGAAGCAGTGGGGGCAAAAACCTAACAGGCCTCAAGACTGAACTTGATAAGTTTATGGAGGAGATGGTATGATGAGACCGCCTACAATGGCATATAGCTGATCTGCAACTGCTAGGAGCAAATATCCCCAATGGCCAATGATGGGACACTAGATGGGAAGGGCTCTAAGTTACTACAGAGAATTCTTTCCCAGGTGGTGTCTGGCTGTTGGGTATTGCCAAGATGCTCAGGGTCCAACTGATCACCATATTTGAGGTTGAGAAGAAGTTTTCCCCGGGTCAGATTGACAGAGACCCGGGGGGTTTCATCTTCCTCTGGGGCATGAGGCACAGGTCACTTGCAGGTTTAAGCTATTGTAAATGATGAATTCTTTGTAACTTGAAGTCTTTAGATCATGATTTGAGGACTTCAGTAACTCAGCTAGAAGTTATATGTTTATTAAAAGGAGTTGATGGATGAGGTTCTGTGGCCTGCAATGTGCAGGAGGTCAGACTAGATGATCCTGATGGTCCCTTCTGACCTTAAAGTCTATGAGTGAATTAATGTGTGTATTTCATTCTTGGATCATGCATAGCAGCACTTACCTTCTCACATTTAGACTGGCCACAGTCACGTCCCATAATGAGATAGTTTGTCTTCTTGCTCACATTACCAGTCACTTTTCCTCCATAACGCTCAATTAAAGACTTGGCCTCATCTCGTTCAATAGACTCCAGGACTCCTGTAATTACGAACGTCAGACCCTCCAAGCAGTTTTCACCTCCCTAAGAATCAAATGTTACAGTAAGCAGTATCACTTGATGCACTTACAACAAAATTTCTCCCCATTACAAAAATGATTTCTTCAATACCTTGGTTTGTCAAATACTGTTTTGTTAGCTGAGACTGTAAGCAGCCATAAACAATCAAATGGATAGTCAGAGTCAGAACTGCTTGACACTTTTAGCTAAAATTGAGTGCGTAAATTCTATTGCTATAGGCATCAACCTCCTGTGCCTCAAGCACTGCGAACCACTGGCAGTCATTTTCTTCGAACAGCAGGGCAATCGTTTTCTACTATAAACATCAAAAATCAATATATAAATCAAATATTATACGAAGGGTTTCTAGTCTCTGACATTAAGGTTTCTTAATTTGTGCGGTTTATTTTTACATAAAAAAGGTATTGCTTTTATTTTGTAGGGACTTTAAAAAAAAATTAAAAAATCAGTCTGTTTTTCTTGGATCAAAACAATTGGCTCGCTCCAAAATCCTGCAGTCCTGGAAATGAGCTCAGCATGAGAAAATTGTAGAACCCAACAAGCCATTTTCACAACATTTTTCAACACCACAAAAATTGCAGTTTTTTAGATTAGAAGTGCATATTTTATAGATTAGAAATCTATTCTCAAAATATTTCTTAATTGGGTCTTGTCTAGGTAATTTATATCTGGAGGCCCTTGATATACATCAATATTACATACACAAAATGCTGTAATTCTTCTACTGCCAAACTGGGACTTACTTGTGGTATCTCTTTGGAACCTAGTGCTTTTGGACCCTCTCGATTAAGGAAGCTTCGATATGCCTGGTAGTTGACTCGTTTCTTTTCAGAGTCCTCAGGACTGATAGACTTTGAAAGAAGAAATTTACTATAAGCAAGGAAACAATCAAACTCAGGCTCTACTTTCTTTAAAGTTTCCAAATAGCTTTTTGCACTTTAAAGGAGAAGCAAACCCTAGCGCTTATTTTTAAATGCTGACATGTAACTAGCAGCAACACTGCTCTTTACAAAAGGAAAATAACTCTACAGTCCTACAGCACACCTCTTTAAATGTGTGAAAAGTAATTCACTGTTTACGTTAGGGCTTGTCCAGACATGGAGTTATTAGGGAATAACTATCCACTTAAAACTCATACCCTATCTTAATCCAGAATAATTTTCATGTGTAGACATGCCCTAAATTGATACACACGACCAACAAATTTTGCTATGCTTCAGATGCGTCAGCCTTTTATTCATAAAAAAAATAAGAAGTTAAAAAAGGCCTATTAGAGAATCCAGGCCTTTCTCCTCATAAATGCAATATTGTCTATTTCTCTGCAGAAACACAGGGGATGATTTTGGTTAAGCGTGTAAAACTTTAGAGATAGTATTTGCCATTTTCAGCTGCTAGGGGTAGGGAGGTGGGAAATGCTCTTCAGAATCATTTCTCAAATCAACATTTAACTATTGGTAATTTAAGATTAGCAGATGCTTCTGACATTTCAGTGTCTAGGATTAAAAACAAGAAAGGTGGGAATTGTTGAAAAGCTGACTATGCTGTGCTTAAGTCTGCATTTCTTATATATTTATTAACATATAATCTAAATGAACTTCTTCCTGTGTCACCTAGTGCATCCTGTCATCGAGAATGCAGCAAGAACAATCTTCATATCTGTATCATGTATAGCACCAAGCACATCATAAATAATAAAGTCTAGGTGTCTAGGAGATAAAGAAATTAACATTAGTTGTTTTCTGTTAACAATATATTTCCATACAAAAGATTCAAAAGCCATCCACTTCTGGGATCTCTTTGGGAACAAAGAAGAAAGCCCTCACACACTACCAACTCCCCCTTGCCCCCAATTTTTGCACTATGTAGCTATTCAGATAATTGCTTTCTTCCCACAGAACTTTTTAATGTGATCTTTCTGTGTATGTATGCCCTTTAAGAAGTGCTTGTTAATTAGATCTGTTAATTCCTAGCCTCATTTTATCACTATTCCTCCAGCTAATTTTCTTGCCTTTGACACGCTTATTAAAACCTCACTAGAAATTTGACTTCCTGAAATTAGAAGTTCTCCAGGGAGATTCAAAGGCAAACATACAAGAAAAAACAAACCCTTCATATCCTTGTGTCAGCACCAAGCCCTAATGAACTCCTCATGAAAGGTCCCTACCTCAGGCTTTTGGGGAGAAACTTTCTGTTTCTTTGGCGTTCTCGTCTCTTGCTTTCCTGAAATGATTTTTTCTTTTGTCACTGCACTGAGTGTCTCTTTCTCCTTTTTACTGCTGTCTTCTTTTTGTTTCAGAGCCACCAGCTTAGAGCTAGGTTTCAAAGGCAAAGTCTTATTCTCTGACTCCACGGCTTTACCAACAGACGTTTCTGGATGCTGACAAGATGGTCTTGTACTTTCAGATTTAGTTTGTTCCTTCGCACTACAATTCCTTGTGTCATCTGTTGAGTTTGACGTTTTCCCCGGAAAAAGAGAGGGAAAAAAATGTGTGTTAACAGGAGAACCTCTTCATATTATAGATTAGTGAGTGCTAAGGTTTTCTGTATGCTAGCGTTACCTTTTTGAGACTGTTTATGTTTTTCTGCTGTGTTTGAACTGGTCTTGGTAGTCAAAATGGTTAGCTTCTCTTCTGGATCTTTTCGAGCCTAAACAAACATGAACAAAATACCAGAGTAAGAAATTTACATACTCTAACCAGTAGTTAAATGAGACTTCTGCAGGTTCAAAACATCTCTCTCAATTTCTAAAAGCTATGTTTGGGGTCTGAATGGCACTGCTTAAAAGGTTAACCCCGCCACTGGTTAGAACAGGATTTATTACATACGCTTTCAGAAAGGATATCTAAGCAGATGAGCTTTTTAGGGTCAAATTCTGCCCTCATGCATGCACCCAACTCCCCCTTATGCCAATAGGGGACATATACCGAGAACCTATGATGGCAAAATTTGGCCCTCGTCAGTTCATTTGGGAAGCTTAGGAAAAATAGGACGTTGTGCTTTCATTTATTAACTTAAAAGATGATTACTGCTAACTAGTTTAAAGGCAATAATCCCATGTACTCTAAAGCATGGGTAGGTGTCCTCTTTCTGATTTACATCTGGCCTATTTTCAGTTTGAATGTGTAATTTGTTTCAAAATAAATAAGATTTGCAGATTTTATAATCCTATTTTTGTGTATGTTTTAACACTGGTGGACAATGCCAGATATTCATTTACCAGGTATACTAAAGCAGAGGGCCCACACCTTTAGGGGTGAGAGGCAATTTCATTTTCTATGTCCAATTAATCCTTGGCTTCTCTGTTGAGATTGCCAACACTCATGCTAGTCAGTAACAAATAAGGTGGTGGTTTTGTGATGTGGACCCTCACTTTAGATCAGCAATTCAATTTCACCTCAAGTACTAAAACGCCAAACTGCCTTCCAATCTGGGCTGAATTTAAAGTGGGAACCTACATGTGACAGGAAACTGGTAATAAGATACACAGAACCTAAACCAGAGGTTCCCAAACTTATTTGGCCTACCGCCCCCTTTTCAGAAAAAAAATTACTCAGCGCCCCCCTTTTCAGAAAAAAATTACTCAGCGCCCCCCTAGAAATCTACCTTCCTTAAGCGAACAAACAGAAAGATGCAGTGACAAATTTGCGTTCTTTTATGTATCTATATTTCTACATACGTCTTACGATAC